GAACACAGAACTGAGGTGTGCATTAAAGAAGCTGAAGAAAGGTGCTGCAACTGTGGACTCCAGCATAGAGTTCATTATGGAGGATTTTGAGGTGAGATAGAAAGCAGTGCAAATACAAAATGTTAAAACAATAGAGTTCAAGGACAAAGGACAGGATAAATGAATCAAGCACAGAATCGGGTACAAAAGCAAAATAAAGTAGAAAGAAAAGATATCTTAAAATTAGCTTTGTTTTTTTTAAGGGGTTGTGACATGTAAGAGAAATTAGCCCCCTTCTTTTTTGATTTCTAATTTTACTTCCAACCCTGGGAGTTAGGAAAAAAACAAAGAAGAGGCACACCTTCTTAAGCTGCATGGTTCAAAGCATAGGGAAAAAAGTTGTGTCATATAGTCTGGAAAATACAGTACCTGAAAGAAGGCCATGAATTTCAGTGCAGGTGCCACTGGTACAGCTCCAGTGCCATGGCAAGTCATCAAAATTGGTGGCAGGCAGTGGTGGGATGTAACCTAAAATAAAAGTACTTAGTTACTGTACTTGAGTAAAATTTCTTATGTATCTTTACTTTGCATAAGTAGATTTAACCATGGATACTTTCTACTTTTACTCCACTACAATTTACATTAAGTACGTGTACTTTCAACTCTACTACAGTTTTAGAAAGCTTTTCATTACACGTTACATTCACGTCATATTGTGTTTCTAATTTATTTGTTTAGTTTTGTCTTAGAATTTGGATATAATCAAATGCAACAGGGGGATTGGTCCACTGAACAACTGCAAAGTGAACAGGTAATATTAGACTCGCCTCCCCCAAGAAGAGCAAGGTGATCATTACCGAGCCTCATTCCAGAGAAACAAGCATCTAAAATTGTTTCCGGCATGTAGGTTCCGCCTAAAGAACTTTGCCAATGTTAAAATTATTTGAAAGAATTGTTCCCTTTAACTGGCTCAAAAAAATGACTCCTGGAGTTTCTGGTGCCACCTTTGTCTCCCCCGAAAGCACAAGCTTCTATCTTTCAAAAACTCACACTCTAATATAAAAATATATATTGAGGTTGATTGCTAAATGATACATTTTTTTGCAAGTGACAGGCATAAGTGAAAGTTTGTCTAGTTGTGGTCTGAAAATGTAGATTTCTCTTGTCTCATATATTTAGTTATGCTATTTATCTAGTGAAAAATGCTTTTACTCAGTTTGTTTCACCTGAAAGGCTGAGAAAATGTCTGAGCGAAGTGTGGTTTTTGACAAAACAATATGTGTGTAATATGTTTTGATTCCGACACGATCGTCACAGTTTTTTCATCAACATAAGTAAGGGAGAAAAACTCTGTCTAGTCAGAACAGGGCTGAATACTATGCTGTAACGGCTGTATGATGAACTGTTCTCTCTTTGCCAAGATATAAAATAAAGTGTCGACTGAGTGAAATACATCAATCTCCGTTTATTTAACTAGAGTGAAAAGTTGAATACTTTTTTCCTACTACACTAACTTTTACAAAAGAGCCATTAGCGAGAGGTAAACCTGTTTAACGTGCATAACGGCACCGATAAGCATCCAACAGTCGATGCTAATCGGTGCTAAATTGGTGAAGAACAACTGAATTTATAACAGCCGAAGACAGGAGTCCAACCTTTTTAGTAATTTAGGCTATGGCTAACAAAGTCATTAATCACAAATAAAATAAATCCATCTCGGTTCAGTTGGATGCTACTAAAAGAAGAGTAACTCCAACCTGAGTGATAAATCTTTCATTCAGTAAAATAAACACAAGAGACCATGGGTGAAAATAAAGCAGCTAATCACACAGTATTATTATTTCTAACAACTACGTAGGCACTAAACAATACTGAAAATAAGCACAAATCAACAAAGGGGAAGAGGGGCCCGATCAATGTCTCTGAGGAGAGTTCGAGTTTTAAGGATTAACGCATTTGAAAGTGTCCTTTAAAAATAGTAGCAGCTAAATGTGAGCAAAGCTTAATGCAGAGATATTAAATGCAGTCAAAACTGTGCAGTTTACTTCGGTTTTATGGTGGAAATTAATACTGACTCAGGATTGCATTAAATTGTGGTGAGGCTGAAAGAAAATGGGTTAGCTTAGCTGGCCCCAGGGGGTCTGGTCCGGACGGGTCTAGCTGAAACAAAGGAAAGGTTAGTTCACCATGCGGCCTCTACAACTTATCTGTCATGAGGTAGCTGGGAGCTAACAATGCAGTCAACTGCAGCAGTTTCATCAGACCCACATGGCTTTGTGTGAAACTAATCAAGCATATCTATGGTTTTGACTCTTTTAATGCAATCAATCAGATATATTAATATTTTTTATAATATAATAAACTTATTTGCTGAGATGCAGCTGCAGTGTCCAAAACTAACCTCAATGTTAGGAATCCAGTGGGTGTGGACTGTGTTTGGTTTTTTTGTGTTCTCTCCCTCCACCACCAGGTGGCTCCCTGTTCTCGTTTGTTCTCCCACACACCTGCGGCTGGTTGTGCTCATTACTGAGGACTCTTAAGTGGTGGACTGTCACTACCTCGACGCCAGAGTGTTTGCCAGTTTTGAGTACTCTAGCCAAGCTGAGTTTTGCTGAGTCTATGTTTCTCTGAGTCTACCCTTGTTTTTGTCTTTGCCTTTTCGGCAGAAAGTCATCCTGCAAACTGGATGTGTTGGCCTTCTCCCATTGGAAGAATTGTTTTGAGCTTTACACTGAGCAGGGGATTAATCTCCACACGACCCGTTCAAGTTCTCCTGGAAATCGAAGTGGCAGTCCGCTATATTGCTCCTCAAAGAACCAACCTAACCAAAGACTTGTCCGCCCTCCATCGAGCCCCCCAATCTCTGGATAAACCCACACCGACTGGATTCTGGAAAGAGAGCCTTTTTCTACTAACGTGAGTCCTGTTCATCTCTGATTTTTGCAAGACGTTCAAAGTTCCCACAGACCCTGAACTTACCTCTGAACTTCCCTTCTCACTTCCAGTTCTGGTTCACCAGCTCTCTGAGTTACCCTGGATCAACTTGATTTATTATTTCAATAAACCTGTAAAACTTTTCCTCTGGTTCTCTGAGGGGTTTCCTGCATGTGGGTCAGATCTCTTAAAAACATCCTGACACTCAATCTCTGTAATCTTTAAGGCACCCATATTAACCCTGTGGTTACCTTAAATGCAGTCACAAGATGATTTCGACCCAAAATTTTGGAAAAATATAATTAGCAAATTTAATGTAGTTTCTGCATTAGAAACAGTTACTACTGCTAGGCATCACCTAAACAACTACAACAAACCTGTTCTTTATGGTTCTAGCATTTAAGAGAAAGCTGGAGCAGTGGGCTGTGACAGTGGATGGTGGAGGTGTTGAAATGTCGAAACTTAGGATGTAGAGTTACGACAAAATCATTCACACTATGAGAAGGAATTATTGCTCTCACCTCACAAGTCTGCTTAAAAGTTTCAATAAGTGTTCCCCAAATTTATGACAGGCCAAAGAAATACAAACGGATAGGCCGACCTTTCACCAACTTTACTAGGCATCACCTGTCATCAGAGATGCATGATGCCCTGCTAGATATGTCCTCTACTGGCATATTTTGCTAGTTTTTTGCATATGTGCTGGAAATATTAACGTTAACCTCTTGATGCTGCTTTATGTTTTACAAGAAATCCCAAAATGTTTCAAAAAATAAAGACACTAACAGCTGAAGTAAGTTACAGCCTAATGTGACGTATAAGAATATTGATCGGGCATTGGGACAGTGGGTGGTGGACAGTGTCCAGTGCATGTTAAATTGGGGGTCGGGACTCAAAAAGGTTGAGAACCACTGCTTTAAGGGATCAAACCATACCAATTATTTTTGCAATCTTCGCGATGCATTCAGTAACAGACGGATACATTACACATACAGATTAACGTGATTCTGATGGATTGTTGTAGGTAGTAATTAAAAAAAGCCACTTTACAACACATGTCCTCTTGAGGCACTTCACATATTTGATTCAAGCTGACCATAGAGAAAGGTTGGTCAGCTCAAAATAACAAACAGGAGCTTGGTGATCTTCATTAACCAGTATTTAATCCTTAAAAGGATGAGAAAAGGATAAGTAACCTACTAGGACTTCATATGTGCTCTGCCTAACAGAGGGAAATAAACTGTTTTGGCTCCTGTCTCACTCAAAGACTTAACTAGACTGATAATAACAATGCCATTCAGTTGTGTATTACAATAAATATTTGTTTTTATCCAGTAATGCTCAGTCACAACAAGAAGTAAGGCTTTAAATTTTCCATCAACAGGGATCTAAAAATCGATTAGTGAAAATCATTATTTGTAAGGTTTCCACAGAAATGTGAAAAGATCAAGTTCAATTTCAATTGAATTATCTCTTTGCATAATTTTGTCTTTATACTCAGACTCAGAAATTGCACACAAATCAGTAATTTCATAAATTTAAGAGAATCTTTTTCTTTACAATTTTTACATCAATATGAAGAAGTTTTAAGATTTTAATTAAAACAAAACAATGTAGGAACTCTATGTGGAAACACAGAAGTGTAATTATCTGAAATGTTTAAATCAGATACCAGCTGAGTTTTAATTCTGCTTTATCTGTGTTTATGTTGATGACATTTTAGATAATTAAAATATCTTGTAATGGGATGAAAAAAAGAGTATAATTGACTAAGACCGTGAATAAATAAATAAATAAATAAATATGAAAAACAAATAAAACATTAATTATTTGAGGCACTTCTAGCATCTATAAAAACGTTTTTGTCATAGAGATTTTATCCTGCTTGACCAACATTTAACAATGTATAAAAAGTAATAATTTTTCGACATGTTATTCTAAAGTCTGGCTAAAAACATTTACCTTTGGCTGTTTTAAATAATTGCCCCATATGTCTGAAAAAAATCGATAAAAGTCTAGACCATTGAATAAACCGGTAGTTTATTTGAAATCCTGTGAGGTACCTGAATGCATCTGAGTAGCTCCGCCCCCTTTCTCCCAGACATGCCTGTTGTCGCATTTTGCCTCTTTCTCTGTCTTTCATGTTCGTGAAAAGATGCGTTTCCTCCGAAATTAACAACATAACAAACCCTGGAATATAACTGGGCTCTTTTTGAGCCCCTGGACTCAGTTAACGGTAGGTTGTTTAGCGTGTTTTGCTGGCGTTTTTGCTCAGTTTTTCCCAGTGTTTTGGTGGTAATTACAATGATTAGCAACCATGTTTGGAGGTAATTAAAACAGCTGCAGAGATGCTCTAAGAAGAAATGAGGACACCATTTGTGGACGTTTTAAAACTTCCATCTTTTTAAGTATTCTGTCTGTCAGATATCGCTACAGAACAGGTTCTTTATCACTGGAAAGGTAAAACATTATTTCTATGAAACAAGCCCACTTATAATGTTCTTTTATATATATATATATATATATATATATATATATATATATATATATATATATATATATATATATATATACATTTCTATAATAATTCGTTTAATCGTAGGATTTGCCTTATTTTCCCTATGCGTGTCTATAAATGTGACTTTAAGCCCCTGTTATAAGAAGAAAAAATATATACTAATGATAAATTAGTCTGTTTGTGTTTAACGTTCGCTTTTCATCGGTAATCTGATATCCAGGCATCAAACACCTGAACGCACCACCTGTGTCCGTGAATGCACCATAAGCACAAACATATTTAACATATGGAACCCTGTAAACGAAATTTATATGCATCAAATATTAATTTAATGTGGAAACATTGGTATTTATTTATTTTAAGATAAGACTTAGATGGATACATCAGTCAACCGATATTTTTGGCTTTAGCTTTTTGATTTTCTATAGGCCTATATATATATATATATATATATATATATATATATATATATATATATATAATTATTATTATTTTTTATTTAATGTATGTGTATTAACCAATACCTGCATTAGTTTAGCTGATTTGTTTGTCCATTTAGCAGGAATAAGTTGAGATCACAAGCGCCTGCGTTGCCGCTCCCTCTATTTGCTATCCATTGTTAATGTTTTTTTAAAATTTTTGTTAATAATTGTTTCTGTTTTGTTTCAATCAATACTTCTGTGACATTTGTAATCACTGTGCTTTTTTTTGTTTTGTTTTTTTGTGGCATGTGAATCAGATGGAAAAAGCAATATTGGCTTCTAAAATTGGCCTAATGAATCGGCAGCAAATAATGGGGATCAGTTAGTTTTAGCTGAAAATAATCTGCATTAGCATCGACCTTAAAAATACCTGCAACTTTTAGGGTTTTCACTATACTAAAACTACAAACTCAATATCGATACCCAAGAAAAGAAAAATTATAAAATAATACCAACTAATAAAACTGATAGAAAATATATTTAACAACATGAAAACCCTAACTTTATTAATCTCAACGTGGAACATGCTTTCCGAGCACAATCACAGATTCTATTAGTTAAATGAGTGTGCAAATCAATGTGAAATAAATCGTCCACATATATCACTGTAGACAATATTTTAAGGTTTGGTGATAATTCTTTGAAAGCCCTATTATTAGTTTATCTGTAGTATAGATATCTAAAGATTATTAAATAAAGACCTTTTGGTTGATTTGAATTAAACTCCTCAGGTTCATGTAAAGTTTATTTATTACTTTTTTTCTACACAAAAAAATTGCAAATAATTCTGACCATGCCATTAACAGGTTGTGGAGCAGGAAAAGAAAATTATATTTTAGGAATGTGTATCTTCATGTGACTATGGATTGAAAAATTATTAACTTTTCTACATATGTAGATTAAGTCAGCACAAAGGTGGAAGCTGCTCCCTGCTGTGTTGAAACAAAGCAACTGTCTTCCATAACAATCATTAATCATTTATTAACTTCGTCCCAGTAGTCTGTCTTTTTAGTTGATGCGGAGCTCCCTTTCCTGCAGGAAAATTTTTGTTTGATTTCAGTTATTAATAAATGTTAATATTTAACAGCACTGAAGAAAAAAGCCATAGGAGGAAACTCGATGAAGGCATCATTTCTAGGTCACGTAGTTAATTAAGGAAAGAGTATTGTGTTCAGAGGAACCATGCTACTGTCAAAAGAATTTGTAGGGTGAACATAAAAAAAATGATGGAAAGTATTCCCACCCAATCATAATATGATTATTTAGCCTGAATGTTTTCCTTTTGGTTGATATCAGTGTAAACAGGCTGGTTCAACATAAGGTGTTGGTGTTTCTATTACTCAATTACAAGGGTTAAGTCAAACTTAATAATCAGTTGGTTGAACATACAAAATTTATGGAAAGCATTTCCACCCAATTATTACATACTCATTTGGCAAAGGACAGTTTTGTTGAGTGAAATTAATGTAAACATACCGAGTAAACAAAAGTTGGCATTACAGTTAGCTAAGTACTACAGGTATCTCAAACATAACTTTTTAAGGTTAGTTCTACATATTTATCCATATTTGTTTGCAGTGTAGGTGACACAATTTAATTCGGTAGGTACAACTATATTTTAAAATGATACAAAACAATAGCGCCTTTCAATCACTTGTTGAGAGTCCTTTCAGTCGTATGAAAATCACTAGTTCAATAAGTCAATTCTGACGTCCTTATTTGTTCTAAAGAATGTAAAGATTTCTCAACCTATTTTGTGACACTTGATATCATCTTGGGAGCAGGTGGTGGATAAACAACAGCAAACAGGATTCCTTAAGATTGAACTTCATTGCAAAAGAAGAGGAAAATAAAGAAAAACATTTGACTTTACAAAACAACTACATACAAGAAAAATAAAATAAATCAGCGGCTGGAAGGCGTCTTTCATGTACGTAATCCAAACCGCAGGTACAAGGATAATATAAGCAAATATATTTTGCCAGGCCGGCTCATTTCCACATTCAATCCACCAAAACCTAGAATCACAAATAATTTTTTTATACTGTGAAAAAGTTCCCCCTCGTTCCAAAATCTCTTACTTACGTCAGGGGCATCAGGATGCTCTTGGTCTTTTTTGGCAGCAAACCGACTGTTGTTATCCTCTTGAACTCAGCAATTAACGTGGCACAAGAAGAGGAATTTAACCATCAATGTACTAAAACAACCCATTAGTATAACAATTGTAATTGTCCACCAAATCTTTGAAAAAACAATTTGGAAAATTTTTTGAGTTCTACCTACAGATTTTGCAATTTTTCCCATTCAACTATAGCTTAATCCCTATGTTGTAACTTGAGATGGTGGCAAATCAGGCTTGAAACATGATGCAACAGTAATTAATACAAGGGAGAAATAACCCCCCCAAAAATATTTCCAAACTATTATTGAATTTAATGGATGTACATATAATATGTACAACATTGTTTATTCAGTTACCTCATATAAACTGAAGGGAGCTGGCCACCTGGTTTTAAAAACGACAATCATGGGTGAATCTCAGATAACTTCTTGCCTTCTATGAGAAAAGGTCTTAGCCACCATTGCTGCCACTGTGTCCTCGCTTTCATCTTCTTTGCATTTAGTTTTTCTTATCACAAGTCAAACAACTCACACAGTTACCTTATCATTTTTTTAATTCAATTGTTAAAAAATGTTTTTGAAATGATGTGAATTTAGCACATCATTAATGGAAAGTAAATATAGAACATGCATTAAATAACCCCATAATCAAACCGTTTGCCCTTAAACAGCAATAGAAGTGCCAGGTGGCCTGCCGACTTAGAGACACCTTGTGGTAGCTGCTTGCCACTGCAGCTGCCACAAGGATGCAGAAGTCCTGCCATTAGTTACATCAGCTGGACTGCTGTCTTTGTGGCACCTTGTGGCAGGTGGGTGGCTAAAGTTCCACAAGCTTTGAGGTGGTGTCTGCATTTAGTTGCAAAAGATCAGATTTTCCATCTGCAGCATCTGATTTAAACACCACACACTACAGGATATTGGACCAGGACAGTTTACTATGTTGGATTGTCGTGACTCCTGGCGTTCTGTTGTCCTGACTTGATCGCTCTGAACACACCACATATAAAAACAATATATTGCTGTAAGAAAACAAAACTGAAAAATGTCCTGATAACTTCAGAAAATGTTTTTGTTTTTCTTCCGTCTGTGGCCTGGCTAGAATAGATGTCGTCTATGTGGCAGCAGGAGCCAGCTTGTTATTCTCCATGTGTGGAGATCGACTCCAGCTCCGTCAGGTCCAAGGACCGGCTCGGCTCTTCCAGCTGGCTGAAACAAGAGCAGGATGAGCTCCGGATTATCAAATGGGAGAACTTCCAAGGTGGAACCTCCTCTGATGCCGTTCAGGACAACACTCCTAGCAGCGCCATGTCTGGTGAGAGCTGCTTAGATCAGCTGGTAGCAGCCATGCACAAATTTTTATAACTTAGTCCAATAAAAGCTATATCATTTGAATGAGCTTAAATGCATTTTCTGTCATTTATTCAAGCTGTACCAAATTCTAACAAAATACTTTTATTTATTGGCATTTGAAATTTCCTCACCTGATGGAATTTGTCCTCTGCAGCTTCATCATTCGAGGGCTTACCGCCAAGGGTGCTGCTAACCATCACAAAGCTTCAGTGCATGCTGGAGAGCAAACAGGAGCGCATTGCTACACTGGAGCGGCAGGTGGAGGACCTGATGCAGGACCGAAAGTTTCTGCGCACTCAGATCGAAAATCTCACAATCAATCGTTCCGTTGCACCATTTGCTGTACCCAGCTCAGCTGCTGAAGGTCAGTCAATGCTTAAAGTCAAGCAGAAAAAAAGTGTCTCAATGGACTGAGTGTTCTTGTTGTACCTCTTTAGCTCCTAAGCCAAGCAAACTACAGCATTCAGAAAGCAAATCTCGAAAGAGGGAAAGAGCTTCTTCTTCCTCCTCGGCCAGCAGCGAGAGCGGATCAGAGGGATCAGACTGCTCTGAAATGTCTGCAGCTTCAAGTGAGCACCGACGGAGAAAACACCACAAGGACAAGAAGAGATCGAAGAAAGGGAAGGACTACAGCAGGAAGAGAGGTAACTGTTATCCCTGTGCTTGTAGTACTGCAGCAAATCTATGGCAGCACTTTGGATATTCTCTAATAAACAAAGCTGCTTTTCATAAAAGCGGCAAATGAAAAAAATTGTTATTCTGTATCAGGTTGAGAATGAGTTGAGTTTTTTGTTCTTTGCACTAAAACCTACCCTATATAAAGATGATGATCGAGAACATTAAAACGTGTATATGTGCACATTAATACTAATGCTTATAAACAAATAAAGTTTTGTTGAAAAGAAGAAAGAACAGTAAAAGTAAATGAAAAACCCACACCACCACTCCTTCACCTCCATATTTGGCAGTTGTGGCGTGCTGTGTGGTTTACTCCAACCAACTTTATTTCAAATAGTTAAACTGCAAGTTCTTATAGGCAATTTGAAGCTCCTTAAGAGCCCGCCTTCACTGTTAGCTGACTAAATGATTGCATCATCTGCATGAAGGTGTATGTTGCCTGTTGATGGATTCTGTCGCATGGTATAGTAGCAATGCTCTCATCTGTTATTCCAACAGTCTTATTATTCAGCTACGAGTTTCAGTCATGTTGGTATTTTTTCTATTTTTAGAAAGAAGCTCTCCACTGGTCCTCAACACTTATTTTTTACTTATTGACTTTCACTAACTTCAGTTTCTAATATGCTGACTGAGAACTATGGAGTCTGAGATGGACCTTTGAAATAATTTGGATAGGATATCAACTCCTAGCCTGACGTAGTCCGACTCAATTCTAGTCAGAATATGTGTCTGATACTGCTCCATAGAGCTGTGATTATGGGGCGTGTTTCGAACGAACCAGGAAAAAAAATGCCTCTGCACTCAATTGGATAGATCTACAACCAATAAGAGCAACGGAGTGCGTGACGTATGTTAAGCGAGGCATAGTTGTCAACAAAAATCAAAGCATGCAGTTGCACGCCTATAATAAGAAGATGAGACTTGATCGCGTTTCTCTGTTCCTCTTTTAAAATTAATTTGCTGTCTATATCTTCTAGAACAGACCTAATAGCGGAATCTACACACCTCAACTCTCCGGCGGCAGCCATTATTGTTGTCACCCTAGCGCGCTTTGGTCACGTGGTTGATTACGTTACTGTTGATCATCTGTCCATCATCGTATAAAGCCCGCCCTGACAATTTGATTGGATCGCCAGAGGGTGGGCGATCATACTCGCGCTACTATGGAGCAGAGCCAGACCGAACTTCCCGACCTCAAACTTTGTGGGCGGGACTAAGTTCGGAATGGCACCTAGGCTAATCAACTCCTACTTACAAAGGCTCATTTCTTAAAGCTACAGTGTGTAATTTTCAGCGACATCTAACGTCCAGACTGCAGACCGCAGCAACATGAACATCTCCCCCCCACCGCTTCTCCCCCCCAACAGTACGGCGAGCGTTACGGGACAAAATGTCTTCCACGACGTCGGAATCACCTACCTTCTCAAGTGATGAGGTTTGTTTACATAGATAATTTTACAGATAGTATTTCATTAGTCTGTGTAGGGTATAGATTTCATGTAGACTTTAGATAATAAATATACCCGTTATTTTTTCTACGTCGTTGTGACGTTTTGGTGAGCTGCTTTGCATGGTGATATAAACAGACGAAGTAATTGTAGTCATTAGTTTAACAGCGAGATTGTGTTCGCTAGAAGAATATATATTCCCCGTTTACAGAGTCCAAGTCTTGTTTGTGGCACGGGGGTTACAAGGCGAGGAAGAGGGAGAGGAAGAGGGCGAGGGCGTGCAGCTAGGGCCAGGCGAGAGAGGGGTGCCAGCGGGGTGACTAGAGCAGAGGAGGAAAGGCTTGAAGATCTCCAAAGGAGCCGGAGAGAAGTAACCGAGGTATATATCCAGAAAATTATTTTACAGAAAATTACTGAATCATTACCTGTGAAACGTCAGGGACGTTGCTGAATAAGTATACTGGAGAGTAACAGCATCATCACGCAGCATGTTATTGTTTTAGACAGGTCTGAGCATCCTGTACTCCAAAAACTGCAGTGATATTAGACAATTGTGTGTGTAGGATTAATTACCTGTCCAAGAGAAATCTGGCAACTTGAGCGTCACTTTGAAAACCTTTTTCCTCCATCAGTGACTTCCATCGTGTAAATGCCGTGCCAATGTTGATCCGTGTTTTTTGTCGTTTCTTGTCACGCTTGCGTTTATTCTCGTCGTGTTTCCGCTTCTTAGATGACGGGGGTTCGGTGTCCGCCGCTTTTCGTTGTGATACAGAGTAGGCATGATCCTCCATTCGTCTGATGTTTGGCCACACAGTGCCAAACAGTTTGCAAAGTCGCTCACGCCTGCCGCCTTGTTCACCTTTCTTGTTACTGAGGCGCAGTATACCTGCTTCTTCTTCTTCTTTGGTTTCAGGCAGACTAAACGCTTCTCAGGCATAATACTGCCATCTACTGTTCAGTACCGTCTCAGTTAATCTCTCTCAACTTGCCGTAGTTATTTTCGAGCGTAATGGGAGATCTCGCAATCGCTAGTTTGTTGCCTCTGCGCTTGCCGTAGCGCAAAGATGTCTGCCCCCATGGCTGCGAGACCCGCTCCTATGTAATTATAAATAACGAATTCTAAGGCAACGCAAATATTATGGTTAAAAGGCTGAGCTCGTAGGTGATGATAAATAACATAGTTATGTATAATATATTAAATTTCTGACTTTATATCCCTGTAATTATTACACACTGTAGCTTTAACTGTTTAGCTACATGGTATCATATAGTCCTCACACTTCCTTGTCAATGCATTAATGTATGTGAAACATATAATTTTATAGCAAAAATAAAACCTTTTATTGTTAGTTAATTAAGAGGAAGTTGGTATAATCCTGACTGGATACCAGCCTTGTAAACAGAAGTGATTGAGTTATTATTTAAAATCAGTCGGTTTTCTAGCATTAACCTGAACTTGTAATGGGATGGGCACTGAAACTTGGTATCAAAACGGCTCAGCTTCAGCTTATCGGTTCTCTCAACAGTATTATTATTAAGGTGCTATTTCATTTTTTATGGAGACTCCTACTCAGAAAACGTAGTGCTCTCCTCCTTTTTAAGAAACAGAGGACTGATGGGACGGGCTTATGTTCTGCGCTCACAAGTTGGATATATATGTGTGTGTGGTCCTTATATAAGGCAAGAAAATAAAGTGTTACATTTTATTTTTTTGCTCTGACCCTCCAACAATGTTCCAACATATAAAAAATGAGCACATGCTGCATTTGAAGAATTTTGGTTAAACTTGAAATTCTTACAATGAATATGATAGGTATGCATAGTTTGCTTATGATCAAGACTGAGATTTTTATTTATTTTATTTATTACCTGTTGATAATGATTACATTTGATACATTTTTATCTTTTATTAGACATATTTTATTAAAATGTGTTGTTATTAATTGTTATTGTTACTAAATTTTATTAATTATTGTACAGTTTATCAAGATGTTTGTGTAAAAAGACCAGAAGACCTGAACTCCTTGAGGGCCACCCCTCACTTTGCTGCGGTTCTGCAAACAGCTTCTCCACTTTTTTAATGGAATCTTGTTTATGTTGCATATGTTGGAATTCTGGCTCTTCTCCAGAATTCTTCTTCTTTTTTTTCCACAGTAAGCGTTGCTGCTGCTCTTATTGTATATTTCAGTTCGTGGTGTTGATAGAAGAAGAAACTCAATACTTTTTGCTTGGAAGGCAATTTGGTACCCATTGTGTCATCCTGTGGGGACAACATATAATAGTCTCTTGATTTTGTGGCCATTTTTTCAGCTGAAATGTTACAAATTCATCAACTGCACAACAATGTACTATTTAGCAAGATGTTGTTACTTTATAAGACTAAGGAAATGCCTAGCACGCTTTTATAAATTTTCCTCCTGACACCAAAACTAGACGTCTAGATAGGTGACACCGGAACCAGACGTCTGAAACTGATGCCACTGGATCATTCTAATGTCTCCAAATATGGAATTTTGAAAAAGATATAAACATTCATATGGAATGTTTATATCTTTTTCACTAAAACATTTCATTTGGATTGTTTCATTTATATAATTCTACTTTTAATACATTATGTAATAGTTGATAAGTTGCTCAACTATGGATGCATAATGATTACATTTTATGCTTTAAGCTGGTTGCATATTCAATCGGCTTTAGCTACCTCTTATACGTTACCTCTCCGCAATAATTTGCATATGATGTTTCCTCAATATATGGAATGTAAGGAACACCCATATATATCACATATCACATAGATAGATAGATACACACACACACACACACACACACACACACACACACAGAGAGAGAGATACACACACACACCTATATATATTTATACACATACATGTATATATTGAGCTTGTACATATTTGAGAAAATGTAGCAGAAAGCATACATTTCTTATTCTCAAAAATAATGAAATGTTGCAAGAAAATAAGGAAACCAGGACAAATTATGACAGATAATGAGAGACTCCTAAAGAGCAGTAGCTGTTTGTGTAACTTTCCGCTGTTTTTCCCCCATCAGCCACTGGTGTCCTGTACGTGATTAACCGCTACAAACAGGTCCTGTCGGCCTTCATCAAGAAGAAAAGCATGAGCGAGGCCTTCCGTCACCACGGCATTGACAGGAACACCATCGCCAACACTGCGTCTATCGCTGAGCTTCACCTCGCTGGGAAAGAAATGGTACCAATGGTGGGCCAGTTCCGCCAAGGAGAAGAGACTCTGGTTAACTACGCCCAGCGGTGCACCTTGGTCATCGATAGCGACCCTGAACTGTCCAGAAAAATCGAGCAGATGAAGGCCAATGGTCAGCTGTTACCTATTTCAGGGAAGAGGTCCAGGGTGATGCACTCTCACATGCAGCCACTACGGGATGCTACAGAGAGCATCTTAATAGGTTGATGATTTAAATGTTTTAAGTAGAGGTGGATAAAAGATTTCTTAGAGTTGATGCAGCTGTTTTATGTCGCACAACCTTTAATTTAGTTTTTTTTTTTATTTATCACTGAGGATTTTTTTTCCTTATTTATTCTGCAAAAATGGTCTATGTAATAACATAAATGTCCAGGAGATGGCATTGTGCACATGTTATTTTTGCTGATAAAGGAATTGTCATTGATTTCAAAATGGTGGACTTTCAGAGATCTTTTTATATGCATTTCACTTTTATTAGAGGTGTTTAAAAACAGCGAAAATTAGTTTTCCCCTTAATGTTCAGGATGATATGGATGTGAATCTGTGACAGAATAGGAGTCATATTCAGTTAATAAGGATATGCATTCTAGTGTGGCCTGATTGTCAGATTAAAAATGCCTGTTGAAAAAAACAAAAAGCAGGTTTTTAAATATGTTTTCCTTTAATTTTTTTATTAATCTGCTGTAATAATTTGATCTTCAATGATGTGTTTTTAATATCTGTGAGCAGAAAATCATAAATAACAGAAATAAATGCTAAAAAACATAATTTTGTGTAATATATTTATACTGTGTGTTTCTCTTAGTGAATAAAAGTACTGAAAAAACTTTAATATTCAAATTTAGGGAACATGATTTTTAAAAACAATATATTTTATAAAGAAAAAGAAGAAATTGAAAAGTGTGATATGTTTTTATTGTTTTTAGCCCACAGAGTCAACACTTTGTAGAACCACCTGTCTTTGACTGGACAGAAAACATTTGTAAACATAATTTATCAACTCTGAGAAAACATTTCTTAAAGTTGAAACTAATCCGTTTCATCACAATAAAATCCTTTGTTGTTTACTTGCTCTACCTTGTTGGTTTAAGGCGAGTGTCCTGCTATTGCAGGTCTTCAGCTCCATAAAGCTTCTTAGGTTACTTATCACATATGAAAAAAACACCAAAACGTCCTCACAGCATCATACTGCCCCCATCATGCTTTAGCCAGCATTCAGAGTTCTAGTTTAGATCTCATCTTATTAGATGTTGCTCCTCTATAAACGGGAGACCCTTTGGTCTTTAACCAATTAAAGAATCTGGTTTGATAGAGCCCAACACACAGCTTTTGCAGAGTTACCGTTTGCCTCTTGCCTGCTAGTCTGATCAACAGTCTTCTTGCCAGGCCTGTTTAGGTGGACACTGCATGATGGTTGTGTCATGGTACTTCCATTGTAAAATGATCAATTGAACGGAACACATTTTTCTCTGTCTGCTGTGTACATGGTCTTCACAATGTGTGTTCTGTATTTTCTAGGTCTTCTTTAATCAACTGGATTTATGCAGAGATTAAACCAAAACAGATTAAGTCCATGAACTGAAAAGGTGACTTCCAAAGGTATTTGGATTACATTTAGTGGACATCATATGGTTCTCAGAATAAATAAATTTCACTGTGTTTCAGTGACATTTAAATAATGATAAAATACATAGAGGTTTGCAGCTGTAATCTGAATGTTTGCAAGGTGCTGTATTGGTAGAGGGCGCTCCTTTTCATCTGGACGCCCCTGAAGAATATTTTTAGATCCTGGAGGAGTGCAGGGATGACTTTGTGTGGCACCCTCAGCTAATGGTGTCACAGCAAAGCATTGCCGTTTGCTTTTCACACGGAGTGACAAATTACTTGTGCAAAGCCATTACAGGGGGCTGCACCCGTGCTGTTTATCTTTGCATGGGACTCTGTCACTGTCACTCTCATTCACATGCTTTCCATCAGCCTATCTGCTAGCCCCCTCAACCCCCCTGCTATATGAACTGATTCAGTCATTTCTTGTTACTCTTTAAATCCTCCTCTTAAATGCTTGTTTTCTTTATATTTTTGAGGTTGTGATTTAGAAAGCAGACAATGAGAGAAATAAAGGTGCAGTCAATCTGCTCTCAGCCAGAATGGGGACAGGTGCATGCTCTTCTCATCTACACCTCATTTGCATGTCACTCCAGCTCTCGTCATAAGTTTTAACAGTCTCACTGAAGATGAGATGATGGAGACGAGGACGTGGACCTAATCAAGCCTGTCTCTGCAGTCTCTGCTCCTCCCCCGGCTCATGCCTGAGGCCAGCTGGGGCTCCATTTTGCGTCTTTTTTGGCTGCAGGTGCTACGTCATTGCTCAAAATTCGACCGATCCTCCTCCCCTCTTTCCCCCTTCTTGTCCACCCACATGCTCCTGACCTTGACAAAAAAGAGCATCTGGACATTCTCACAGGGAGCAGCTTGTAATCACCACCAATCATTGACTTAATGGTGCAAGTAAAATCCATGTGAAATTGGGTTTGCTTGTGCTAAACCTGCTGTAGAACAAAGCAGAGGCCTTGTTATGTAAAGGATTACAAAAGCCTGCAAAAGAGAAAAAGAGCTTAGACTGCAGAGTAAATAGAGTTAGAAAGATGTAAGCCTGATACGACTTCCTAATAGTAAAATAAAGTACAGAATGCCTTGCTTACTCTGAAAGAAAGTCTTTGTAAAGACAAAATTAAAGTCCCTTTAAAATATTCATAATCCCTGAAATTATTTATATTATTTAGTGGTATTAGAAAACAAGCTATTGGGCACAAAAGCAATCCAGACTGCTCATATCTATATTTTTATACATATAAACATTCATCATTCTTCTTATTTTCATTTTGTTTTAACCTTTATTAAACAAGAAAAGCCCTATTGAGATAAAAACAAAACAAAAACATCCTGAACAAGATGGACTGCAGGTTACATGTCAGTTACTGCATTCATTCACACATGCAAAATAAACAATTCCAAACCAATGAAAGTATGAAATATTAGAAGCTTTTGCAATATAATTAAAAATAATCATTGTGAAAGAGACAGTGTCTCTGTCAATTGAAAATATTTTATAAGACTTTAAAAAGACCGACTCCCTTGACTTTAAAAGTCGTTTTGTAGAAGGTTTGACGCAGAAGGTGCAGCAAACTGAAAACTTCTTTATCATCTCAGATTGGACCTTTGGAACTGACGATAAAAATACGTCCTAATAGAAACCAGTACATTTCTGTGAAATATGCATGTCTAAACAACAAGGAAGATGACCAAGTAAACATTTACAAATCAGTAGGTGCAGTTACCAAATCACCTCTACAGTAATATCCTAATTTATGTGAGTATATCTCATAATCCAAATAAGATATGAACTGAAGTATTCAGTGTTAACATAATAAGCGCAGTTACTCAAGTGATCTTTTAGACCAAAAAAGTGTTTTGCTACTTACGCAAAATGCTTTGTTTAGAAAATATAACCTGAATAGTGATGCATGGGGATGGCAGCGGCATGCTTTGGGGAATGGATCATGTTAAGCCAGAGTAATCCTGAAAAAAACCTTTTTAATGGCTGCCGACTACTTAGGTCTTTGAAACGATGTTTTAAAGTCTATCACATACAAAGCCGAAACAATACATTGTGTTTGTAGTTTTATTCATTTTAACGAGTAGGGTTTATGTTTAAAACACTAAATGGTTTATATCTTTTTCATCATTGTCAAAATCATTCAAATATAGCAGGCGTGTGTGCTCATAGTAGCTGCTCTACAGAGGAGGAAGATCCTGGAAATCTGGAAGGGGATTCTTGACAGTAAAGTGTTTTGACAGTCCAATCTATGTCTGCCATATACACTAACAATTATTCTCAGTGTATGTCTGATAGAGTCAATTCACATGTATGACACCAACTTCCTTTGGTTTTATTTGCTTGTCGTTGTCCCCTTTCTGCTGGTAAAGTGGTCAGTGTGTCTGCCACCATGCAATCCTAAAGTCCATCCTCAAAGCCTTGTATGATTATTATTGCATCCTGTACAATGCAGGAGGATGGCAGCATGTGAATCAGCCTTCTAACTGCCTGTGGTAAGCAGCACTAGGGGACAGTGTTGCACCCAGAACACCCAGCTAAGTGACAGTCCGCTACATAGATTCAGGTGTCTAACTGTAAACCAGGGTGTGGTTTGGGTATATGTTTAAAACACCCCAAAGAAGTTCTTTTTTTTGTTTTTGTTTTTTCTGTAATTTTTGCACTGACAAAAAAGCCCAGACAGCAATCAGTAATAGATTTTGCTCTTCGCTGCTAAAAACAGTTAACAAAAATACATGAAAGATGCTAATCTCAAATCACACACACCCTGCTCACAATTGCAGGCTTTTCTGCCAACGCTGCACAATCAACAAGTCTGGAGGTGCAGCTCGTACGCTCTCCATCTGGTTGTCACTGATAAGAACTAACTGCAGGCTGCTGGATAATAGTCTTGCAAGCTTTAAAGCACAGAGAAGAACAAGGGGGAGCGTCATGCATTCTGGGGGACCCCATAGAGATTAAGAAAAAAATAATAAAAACCCAGCCCCCTCAGTGTGAATGATGGGGGCTGGAGGGAGTGGGTGGGGACGTCATGCTGGCAAACACATAATTCGCCATGAATATGGGGAAAACAAGATGGCTGCAGTGATTGTGTGACTCACAGGATGTTTACTCTGCAATATGTGAGTCATATGGCATCAATGCAAAAACCATACATGACCTATTTCTGGACAGTAACAGGAAAAACGTGGAGCTGGAATGGGTTTAGGTATTAGGGCCAAAGCTACTGACTGTGATCAGCTTTGATTAACCCCCCACCTTGCTTACAGGTACCATCAAATAGACCATTTCAACTCTGACAAAGAAACGACAGACGATACACAGGCATAACCTTCAGGTTCAAACTGTTAAACCGATGCACATGCTGTAAAAGTGTATTAGGTTCTGAAGGCATGATCTGCATCTTTCCCCAGAAACTAACCTGCAGACTCATGTGAGAAGATGACGCAGTGTGACGCAGACACAAATACGCAAAATGACGGCACAAAGGAACCCCAACTCCTCCCACCGATCAAAGTTGGTTTCTCATTCAGTGACGCAGATCTTTGGCACCATATGAAGGATGGGTGCTGCCTGACACATACTCAGGTTGCAAAGACACTATAGTGTGAGTTTTTTTAATCCTTCTTTTTTTTATTGTGTGGTACAGAAATGAACAACCTTTAAGCAGTATTACCTTGCCTCCTTTTTATTGTAAGGTTTCTGCTGGTTTCTCTTACTTCCTCTTCTAGCATCTCATAAAGTTATAGAATTCAGACACAGAGATCTTTTACCATTCCTCCTTACACACTCATTCTAGAATGCCTGGTCCCCTTTTTGTTTTATGTTCTTTTTAGTTAATTTTACAGATATTTTGTGGGATCTATTTCAGGGGACGGATTTTGCTTCACAGGTATGTTAATTGTATGTATGATGAACCAGTTTGGGTACACATTTTTTAAAAGACACCCAAAGATTTACCATTTTCTGTTACGGTTAGTTTGTGTTTAGTTTTATGCATAGAAAACCCAGTTTTTTGCCTTTAAGTCAAAATATATATGATCCACTGTCCAGTATCCATTATGCACTTTAAGAATATTAATATTACAGTTTTATAGTTTTGAAAATATCTTGGATCCTATGAGATTGTTTGGCTCGATTTTCAGCTGTTTAAGGGGTTTTAA